AAGGAGAGACTTCAATTTCTCCCAGTGTGCCATCTAGGTCATTGGGCATGGAAAGGGACAACCTCTCTCCATTCCTTTAAGTCATCTACCCATCAAAACCTTCTAGTTCTCATCACCGTGACACTCTAATACAATTTCTCATGTTGTGGTGACCCCCAACCATAAAATTGTTTCATTGCTACTTCATAACTATAATTTTGCTACTGTTGTGAATTTTAAATATTCAATATGCAGGATATCTGATATGTGCCCCCCCAAAGGCATGGCAACTCACTGGTTGAGGAACACTGTTCTAGTGGGTTCTAGGGTATAAGATAAATTCCAACTCTGAAACAGCTCATATAATCCCTTCACAATTACTGTATACTTGGCTTATCTGGTTTTGCCTCCCACCCCATTGCCCTCAGCCGCAGGGCATATGCATGGTGGCACATTTATATAGTCTCAGCACTCATAGGATTCAGACAAGGATCACAAGTCTGAAGCAGCCTACTCTATATACAGACTAGGATCAGCCTACATCAGCCTACATCAGTCTTCATCGCAAAACCTGTCTTGGAATGAATGACTGAATATTCATACTCTTTTATGTGTTGTTTCCTTTGCCTGAAATGCCTGGGAAACTCCTGAAGAAAAAGGTTCAGGCCATCATCAGCCATCCGACACTGCCCACATTTTCCTTGACAGCAATGTGTTCCCATAACTCTGTCACTCTAGAAAACATCATCAAGTTTACTTCCACCTTGGATCCCCTAAGCCTGTATGGCACTTGTGATGTACTCAAGGATCAGCCACATACTTGCTGAGGAACCCTTAGCTCCTTCTTTGCCTAGGCATGGAAAATACAAGGTTAAAGAAACCTCACTCTTCTCTAGAAAGACGTATTATGTTATCAGAACTGTGCTGTGGAGAGCAGAGGAAGGCTGAGCAAATGAACTCCTAAGTGAATGGGTGCTGTTGACATAGATGTGACTATGTCAAGGATCCTTGCTTCAGACCCAGAGGAAAATAACAGAATCTTTCTCTGCGGTCCAAGTATAAGTGTTGATAGTGTGTGCAGAAATGTCTACTGTCGCTTCCTGTGCCTGGATATTTATGGCCTGAAGACTACTTCCATCAAAATTAGCTAAACCTGTCTCTTTGATCCAGTTGTGTCCCTATAAACCTTACTTCCTGTTCAGCTGTAGGCAAAAACTCTGCCTCTCTCTTCAACTCTAAACAATCAACACTTGTGTTTTTTTTTTTTTTTTTTCCCTAGCAGAGAGCCAAGTCAACCCAACCTCAGCTTCTCTGTATGTTTGTCTTTTCTTCATTCCATTGCCATCCAGGCAGGTCCAAGCCCTTTGACACCATACCTTCCTGGGAATAGAGTTAGGTACCCATATCTATGAGCTGTTCAGACATTCCAGACATTCCAGATTCAGTGTAACCGTGTGGGCACATCTTACTGCAACCGGTGGATACTGAAATCTGGCACATTTGGTCAAGTTCTAGGTGTCTCATTCTGAGGCCTGCTTCAAGGATCTGAGCATATCAGGCTGCCTCAATTCCGTTTCAGGAACACACTTCACAGACTTTGCCTCACTCAAGTGAACGGAAACCCATCCAAAGGGTATAAGGTTTCTCTTCTATATTCATTCTAACACATTTAATGAACTTGTTTATTCTGGGCGAGGCAGATGTCAGTGCTCTACCTAAGAGATCCTCCAAATATGCTCCCAGTAGAAGGCAAGCAGATTATATACCCAGGGGATCTCATGTCCATACAGCCACAGTGTTTAAGCATAATTTAAAAGATCAAGTGTCCCAAGGAAAAACACAGTAGTCACTTTTTAAAAACATTTTTATTTTAATTTTTATTAATTATACTTTATTCACTTTGTATCCCCCCCATAGCCCCCTCCCTCCTTCCCTCCCCAGTAGTCATTTTTTAAAACAGGATTTCTCTGTGTAGTCCTGGCTGTCCTTGAACTTGCTGTGTAGACTGCACTGGCTTCACCTATCTCTGTGCCTGGAGCCCTGGGATTAAAGGTGTGTACCACCATACCCAGTTTAGGTCATAAAATTTAATATTGGAAAAAGCAACACACAAATTCTCCATACATGATGATCTAAGGAAAGAGTTTAAAGGAGGGAAGAAAAGGGGGAGGAGAGAGGGAGAAGGAAAGAGGGAAGCGGTGAAGGACATAAGGAGAAAGGGAGAAGATGAGGGCTGAGAGAGGGAAACAGGGAGGGAGAGAGAGAAATCCTGAACACTACTGTCAGCTGCATTGTCTGTCACAGATCTGCTCAACCAACTCCATTCACCTACCACACAAACTTCTTGAGGCACTGTTCCATGAATTAACTGGTGAATGACTTGTCCAACCAGCCAGCTTTCCTTAGAAACCTCTTTCCCTCTTTGCTGCACTTTTTCTGTGTGTCTTCTCTGTAACTGTCTCAAGTATTGCTTGGCCTGTGTGCTTAGAAGCTGGAGATATGGTGGGGAACAAAACAGAACTAGCTACCAGCTACACGGAGCTTAAAGCTCCGGTATCTACTCAGACACTCACCGACTCTGCAGAACTATCCCTGTTTCCCTACAGTCTAGCCAGCACCTCTCACAAGCCTTATTGAATTCTGATGGTTATTAGAGGTGAAAGTGTAAGGCAGTCTAAACTCCTGATTAGTTAGTAATGAGCTTGTAATGAAGTGTCTCACGCAGTTTTGTCTTTGTTCATGTATTCTTATTGCTGAGCCATTGTCCTTATCACTGTGTAAGCACCTGGTGTGGATTTCGGATATCACAGGACAGGTTTACCTGTGATAACCCCTGACACAGGGACTCATGAAGCGTAATGAGGAAAGGATTTCTCAAGGAAGTAGATGGTGGGTTTAGCTATTGGGTTTCTCCTGTGCTGAGGGCTTGTTCTCTGGCTGGAGGTATTATTGACAAGTGATGAGATACTGATTCATCAATGCACTGATGAGTTCAGTTTCTGGACTGTGAAGTGTTGGGGCCTAGATGGAAGAAGGTCATTGGGAGTGTGTCTTTGAAGGGTATATCTTATCCCTGAACCCTTCATTTATCTGTTTCCGGTTATCAAAAAGTAAACACTTTTCCTTGACTATGCCTTTCTACCATGGTGTTTCAGCCTTGGCAGGGGCTGACAGTAAGTAAATGGAGCCAGCCTATCATGAAATAAAACTTCCTTCCTAAGTTCTCTCCTTTAAACTGGCCTCTGGTATTTTGTCACAAAGACCAGTAAGACAGTAGAAAAAGCAGGAAAGAGAATTGTGGTGGTTTCACTGAAATGTCTTCCATAGTCTTGGACATTTGAACTCCTGGCCCTCAGCTGAGGGTGCACTTTGGGAAATTTATAACCTTGATGAAGAAAGTATGTCACTGGATGTGCGCATTGAGAGCCTGCTTGTGATTCAAGATGTGAACATTCATCTTTCTGCTCAGGCCAGCATGTCTGCTGCTTGTTGCCGTGAGACAGACTCTCATGCCTCAGGAACTGTAAGCCCAAATAAACCCATTCTCCTATAAGTGGTATTGGTCATGTTCTTTTAACACAGCAATAAAAAGTAACTAATATATGAAGAAACAAAGCCAGAAATTCTTTCCAGCAGAAGCCCACAGGAGTGCTCTGCTGGATGCCTAAAAAACTCTATAGTACCAGTCACATACACACACATTTCTAGTTCTGCTCATGAAGGGTCAAATGAACTCAGAGAGAGGGTAAGACAAGAGGATTTAAAGTGAACTTGGTAAACTGACAGAATGCACTAAAGAAACAGTATATATCTTGATGTCAGCATCAATACAAGAAATGCACTATTTAAGAGTAAAATACTTTCTCATCTATCATATCTGCAAAGATAGAAGAAGTACGCAATGTCAAACTCTAGACTAGTAATGGTGACAAGGATTTTTGCAGACATGTTATTGGGAGTATAAATTGGCAGTCATTTTTTTGAGAAAAAAATGTTGGGAAAATACGTCAAATTTAAAGGAACATACGTTTTGAGATAGGCAGGATTCCATCCCAGAAACTTACTTCTAGCCACAGGTTGGCTGTCCACTGCAGCACAGAATTAACCGGGGGTACCCATGCAGAATATATTATCCACAGTTTAAAATGACCAAGTACGATAATATAAACCAGCATGGAGAGCTGCTCATGAGACACTGGTAGCTTACTGTGCGACCTTGTGTGAATTAACTGCCTTCCCTAGTGATAACTCATCTACAACAATGTGAGAAAAGTGATGTTGTTGGAAAAAGATTGCTACTATACAGATGAAACCAGACAGGATATTTTTAGTGATTTTCAAAGTTTCAACATGTAGTAAATGCTTAACAAGCAGTAACAATGTAATGTTATTGCTAAGCAAAAAAATAAATAAATAAGTATCAAATAGCATATATAACCGCGTTTTGTTTTAAAAAACATAAATTATACTATAGGGGAAAAAATAAGGTTTTCTTTTTCAAGTCTGAAATTTGGGGGATATAAACCATCTAGTATTTGAGCTGGTAGATGCTGGTACTTAACATTTTCAGCAAAAAGCCCTTCTAACCTTAAACGTGAGGATGCAGGCAGAAGGGTACAGCCTGGTCAGGAACCTGCTTAGTGTGTGTGAGACTTCAAGCCTCAGGGCAGACGGGAAAAGGTGATGAAGAGACACAGCTGTAAAACGATATGAGACTGGTTCCGGGGTAGTGGCAAGCCAACCCCAGCATCTCACTCCTGAGTCAGCCCCCAGTACGCAAGCTGGTGGATGGGGGAAGCCACAAGAAAAGTCTTTGTAGATACCTCAAATGAAATAGAACCTAAAAACCTGTGGACATTCATAATATTGAAGGCCATGGAGCTAAAAGAATATTTATTTGCCTACAGGCTACTCTGTCTTCTGTCTTTCTCCTTATCTGACAGGAGTAATAGAAGCCGCTTGTGTTCCACCCAAAGCCCTCAGTAAATGACCAAACGAAATGACAGAAACAAAGGCCCAAGTGGAAGTTCAATCGTATTTATTTTTATATAGAATTAAAAAGTAAAACCTGTACCAAACTCTAGGTAAAATGGTTTGATTTGATGGATTTGGCGGCACATTTCCTGTATGTAGAACATACCGGACTAGAAATCAACAACACAGGTCCCATTTGATAAAAACAAAACAAAACAAAACATTAAGTTAAAGTATTAGCACATGTAGAATACAGTGTCAGGGAAACGGTCTCTGTCAATCACCCATTTTCCCAATCAATCTATAGTTTCCTTTTTTTGAATGGCTTACTTTTTTCCCCATGAAAGTTGTTCTTTCAGAAGCTGCTTCTAATTATATCACAAGAACACAGTACTCAGTGACATTCAGTCTGTCACTTCACATCCCCTTCTGCAGATTCCTTTCTGCTGAGCAGTGCCCAGGAGGCTAAAACTTGTTCTGGTTTATGAGCTTCTCACACACTGAGAAATCATTGAAAGAGATACATTTTACATCCTAGATGTTACAGTCAAACACTGCCTAAATAATGTTAACAAATGATAGGATGTTTTCACCATGTAAATGCTTCAACAAAGTGTATCTCATCAAGAAGAAGAAGAAAAAAAAAAAAGACTTCTTTGAATCTAACTTTAAAAATATTGCCTATTCTATGACAAATTTTGGGGATGAGATGGTAAAATTTATTGACACAGGACCAAGAAGACTAGATAGTCTGATAGTTGTCTTATAGTATGGTATAGTATATGAATAGCACCTTATTATGACTTCTTAGAGAGTATCAACACTTACAATAATACCAAAGAACCATTGAGAGATTACTGCAAGGGCTGGGGATGTCGCTCCATTGCAAAGCACTTGTCTAACTCTTCGGTTCAATCAAAACTAGAAAAAAAAAAGTCTGATTTCTGATTTCTAGCTTTAGCGCCCTTTAACAAGGCCACATTTTATGTTCTTTAAAAGAAATTATATCTGTCTTTATCTATTAGTAAACAGTCATGGGCCATATTTTATTCTAGAAAAAATACTATATTAATTAAAAAGGTTAAAACTAATTTACTAAGACAATTATTCTAGTATTTCATAATGCCACAAGCTTACTAGAAAATTGCTCCTAAAACTTGGTAACATAAATCATAGATGATTTAACTATTTTTTTAAAAAAGAGCATCTTTTTTTTTACACTTAATAACCTGAAATGCATCTATAAAAATATTTTTAAATACAGTAACACTGTCGAGTTTTGTTAGGTCCCTTGTGTTTTGGCTTGTTTTTTTTTTTGTTGTTGTTGTTGTTTTGTTTTTTGTTTTTGTTTTCCTCAGAAAGAATGTACAACTCTTTTTGCAATTTTTGCTAACAAAAGAGAAAACAAAAGAGTGCTCCCTTTCAACCTAGTAGCAACATACATGCCTACCCACCTCTCTCAGAGTGCTCAGAGAGAGCAAGGAATCAACTGGATATAACTTGGAGTTCCTTCAGGAAAAGCAAAATCACATAAGAGTGCTGGAAGCAACAGTAGTCCATGCTCTTGCCTGCTACCATTAGCAAGTTCATGAGCAGAGTGCCACAGCCTGCCCTTCCTCCTCTCTGCCTCTCCCCAGTAAGGTGCCCCCCAACCCTCTTCTCTCTGACAACAGCATCTTTTGGTATAAAGGCTATGAAAGAAAAACACTGCTTCGTTCTTTGGGGCACTTTTCACATGTCTTGCTTGCCTTGCTTTTGAGGGGTTCTGATACATCTGCTTCATTTCACCTTGACTGGCCTTCCCGCCATATTCCACGGCCCTACTACATTGCCTCTGACCTTTCACTTGCCTCTTCCCACCAAATGTACTCTGTGCACTTATATTCCAATGGATCAAAAGGGATCTTGCTGAAGATCCTCAACAAAGAGGCCTTCACTCTCATAGGAGCTGAAAGCTTCCTCCCAGATTCTTGATGTCTTTCAAAAAAAAATAAAAAAAGAGATTAAATTCATAGATTATAAATAATGTCAGTTCAAAATATTAAACAGCTAAGGACTTCATTGCAAGTGCAGGCCAACTGCCTTCCAGATGAACACAATACTCTCAGTCCTTAAAAGCTAACAACAAAAATTAAAAATGTTGGTTACATAAGAGGTATTGAGTACATACCTTATACCTATTTTTTTTTTAACCAACTTAGCAAAAGGATTAAGATAATATACTTAGGAATCAATTTTACTCAATTCAAAAGTAAAAATCTACACCATATGCCTTCCTGCATATGTTAATCAGAAATTTGCCTCATTCTTCAAACAGTTTCATAGACAGGATTGTTTTAAACACTGGAAGTCTTGAAAGCCAGAATTGATAATGCCTCAGAATATAAAATGCAGCAGCTCATTCATATGTCACCAGGCTGAGATCTATGTTGGCCTGAGGTTTTCAGAACAGGTTCAAAAGACAGAAAAATGCACTTGCCACTGACTTATCAAAAATATTTGGCTACCCTTTGTCATGAGCTACAAAATTACAGCGTTTTATAAAACAAACATCAAATTCTAAACGACATTCTGAAAAAAAAATCCAAGTTGCAATTAAAAAAAAAATAGTTCTGTTTTATAATCATTCATGGTAGTACCAAACTGGTCTCTTTCAGATGCTCTGTCATGCAAGGACTGTGACAAATGCTGCAGTGACACTTTCACTCGCAGAACCGAGCTGCTACGACGTAAAATGATGAAGGGTGGTTAACATTAGGACGCTGTGTCCTGGTAAATACAGAATGAGAAAAGCCATGGGTTCCAAAGTACACTGTATTCCATACAGCAGAAATTTGCTCTCTATACAATCATCTTTAAAGATCAAGTTAAATAGTTTTAAAGCATTTGTTACTACTGTTACCAGTACAGTTTTTGAAACTGTAAATCAGGTCTCTGTGCATATTTCCTGGACCAAGCTGCCTGTCAGAATTCACTGCCTGTGGTCAGCTTTTACAGTTTAGGATCAATTGATATATGAATTTAAGGTAATTGTGATAAAGCTCAGCCATAGGGCAGCAGGGATTTTTTAAGAAGTTATTCTGTACAATCACTTCCGCCTTATCTGTCCCAGAAGTGCAGGCTTGCAGAAAATGAGAAGAGAGTATTTATTTATGTGTAACTTAAGTTCCTGCAATGATTAACTGGCCACATGGACAAGAGGGAGTGTGAGTATGAGGGCAGAAAGTGGTACAACTGCAGACCTGCTTTGCTCCATCACTTGTTCTGTAAGGCCCAGGAAATGTCAGCTCCCAGCTGCATCACATGACAATGGTCGTGATTACAGCCAGGTAAGAAAGGGCTCGCTTTTGTTCAGAGCAGACTCTACATCATTGAAGAGGGGGATCAGATCTTCAGACTCCAAAGTCCCTAGGTCAACGTTTGTTCCTGGGAGGCAGTCAAGGAAATCGGGGAAGCGGCTCTGCTGGGGGTTGACGGTCATGGGTGTCTGACCCGAATTTTCTCCTGTAATAGGATGAAGGATAACCGTGTTACTTCCTTCTTTAAAAAAAAAAAAATTGATTTATTATTTATACAGTATCCTGCCTGCATGTATGCCTACATGCCAGATATCATTATAAATGGTTATAAGCCATCAAGTGGTTGCTGGGAATCGAACTCAGGACCTTTGGAAGAACAGCCAGTGCTCTTAACCTCTGAGCCATATCTCCAGCCATGGTACTTCCTTTTTGTAAGTTCTTCTTTTTTTAATTTAAATTTTCACTGCTCTTGTTGCTGTTATTCTGAACAGCGGTTCACTATGTACCTCCAAATGTCCTGGAACTCAGTATGTAGACCAGGCTGGCCTCAAACTCACAGAGATCTGCTTGTCTCTGCCTCCCAAGTGCTGGGATTTAAGGCGTATGCCACTGAGCCTGGCTAAACTTTACTTTTTATAGTATTTTGCCCATGTGCTTTATCTGTGTAACATGTCTGTGCCTGGTGCCTACAGAGGCCAGAGAGAGTGTTATGCCCCCACAGAATTGGAGAAACAGATAGTTGTGAGCCATCATGTAGGCAGTAAGACTTGAGCCTGTGTTAACCACTGAGCCAGCTCTCCCTTCTATGTTCTTGAAAAGGGAACAACAGATAGTTCAAGTGTTAACGTAACCCACACGTTCATGTCCGAAGACACCACACCAGTGACCTCATCCTATTTAGGACGAGTGTTTATCCCAAAAAGGCTTGAGTTCTGCAGGACAGAACTGAGGAAAATGCTAGAAAGTTAAACATCTGGAACTAGACATCAGAATGTGTTCTTGTCATAACAGTATGAGAGGAACTATATGGAAACCTGATATCATTCAATTGTTTTCTTTACTGTGTGATCTTAGGCACACTTAACTCATCTTATTCTTTTCTTTACCACCTGGAATGGGGACCACAGGGTTATTGGGATAATCTCTTTGTGTGCTGTGTAAAGGTTGTCTTTGTATTATTTAAATGCTGGTTTCTGTCCCAGTAGAGAGTTGAGTACAAGCTAGACTTTGGTTTTAGTATTTTAATTAAGCACCTCCACTCTCAGCGTTTGGTAAACATTCTTCTCCATCACCTGACTGGTTTAATAAAGAGCTGAATGGCCTATAGCAAAGGCAGGAGAGCATAGGCAGAACTTCCGAACACAAATAGAAACTCTGGGAAAGAATCAGGCACAGATTAGTATAAACAGGTTAGTTTGAATTATATAAGCTAATTGGGAACAAGCCTCAGCTAAGGACTCTGTGTCATTACGTGGGCGCCTGGAGGGTTGAGACAGTCCGGGGTCTTTCTGCACAAGTTGGAATAAGGTATCCAAGGCTGTGTCATCTGTGTAATATAGCTCATTACAGGGTCTGGAGGGATGGCTCAGCAGTTGAGAGTCTTCCAGAGGAGCTGGGTGGGTTCTGTTACTAGCACCTACATCTTGGCCCACAAACACCTGTAACTCCAGCTTCAGGAAATCTGAGGCCTCTGGGCTCCAGACATGCACACACAAGTGGCACACATAAATTCACACAGGCACACACATGCACAAAAATAAATCTTTTTAAAAATTCAAAATATCATTACAACTTCTAATTCTTGAAAGAATATATATATTTAGCCAAACAAAGCCTTTGTTTTAAAGAATTCTTCCTATTCTTTCTCACCAGAAAGAGGTTAACAGTCTTTGCAGTAACTCTGCAACGCTACTGTGGTCCTTTTTCAATACTTGTAGTTTTGGCTACTCAAGTTGGTTATTTAAGCTACTTCAGACAAAAACAAGACAAATTCTCTGAGGACGATTCTTCAAAGGAGGGGCGTGATTTCCTGGAACATTTTGGAAGGATGAATGGCTGCCCAGCCTTCGCTCTGCCCGCCCTTGGTTCCTCCTCACCTAATCACCACCTATTGTGTCTCTCTTTAGCAGTTTATGCCCATTTCCTAGAAACACCTCACAGAGGTGACCCTGAACTCAATGAGTTGACATGCATTTAACCAGATTAATGGGAACCATAGTGCTTATCAAATCTATTTCATCAACAGCCTTCTTCAATGGAGGGGCAGACGTGAGAACGTGAGAACGTTACTCTCATTTCACTGGTGAGAAGCTGAGGCTCACAGGCATTCCACAGAGAACACTGTTACCAGACAGGGGAGAAACAAAGATTCAACTCAGGTTGAACGTTGTCTGTGGTCTTTTCAAGACGTCATTTAATTGTATATGAAGGCTTCAAAAACATTCCCTATCTCCCTTACGGGATTCCCAGTGTTTAAAAGATGAAAGTAAACAACAAAGGAAGGAGCCATTACATAAGACTAATTCCAGGAAGCAAAATAAATCACACATACCACACACACAGGGGTGGGGGTGAGAAAATGAAAGGGTTGGGGAAGGGAAGAGCAGTAACAAATAGAAAACAGCAACAGTGCAAGCCGGTCCTCTGTGACTCCTCACAAGCCAACCCCTCCCACGCTCTCCACACAGGTTGTCAGCTTTTTCGCAAAGCTGAACTGTAAACCTGGCTACACGTCTGGCAAGCCCTGGAGGCACTGCCCTGGCACCGTGCACTTTTGCAAGGCTGCACTGTAAACCTGGCTATGAGTCTGGCGTTCAGACTCAACAATTTAGATTCACAGCAGCAGCACACTGCAGTTGTACCGGCACAGAGTATGCCAAACCACAGGCCCGGTGAACCAATGACTTTTTTTTTTTTTTTTTTTTTTTGTCTATTCACATGTTTATGAGTGTTTTTATGTATAAGTGTTTGTGTAACTCCTGCAAGTCAGGAGCCTACACAAGTCAGAAGAGGGCATTGCATGCCCTGGAACTGGAGTTACAGACAATTGTAAGCCACATGCAGATGCTCGCCACTTAACCTGGGTCTTCTGGAAGAGCACCAAGTGCTGAATCATCTCTCCAGTGCAACCACTGCTCCTCTGTCAATGGATAACAACAGAAGAGAAACTTGCACAAGTATTCATAAAGAACACACACTCAGGCCGTCATTTCTTTTTGGCTTGGCTAGTGGGACACAAAGGAGCTTTATGTAAACTGAGCATGGTGGCACGCACCTTAAATTGCTATTACTGATGTACTCAGGAGGCAGAGGCAGAGGCAGAGGCAGGTGGATCTCTTTGAGTTCAAGGTCAGTTTGGTGCACAAACCAAATTTCAGGACAGCCAGAGCTACGTGGGAGACCCTGTGTCAAAATTAAAAGAAAAGAAAGAAAAAAGAGAGAGGGGGGGAGGAAGAGAGGGAAGAAGTGAGGGAGGAAGAGAGGTAGGAAGGGAAGGAAGGAAGGAGGGGAAGAAGGGCTATATTATGTGTCCCAACACCAAAGTATAAACTTACTTAAAACATTGAGATTATTTTACATTTTTTTAACAGCTCAATCATGCAGTTCTCAAATGTGAACTTAGCGAATGGCCCATGTCCCAATGCCAATAGTTTGGACATGCCTACTCTATAGGACGCACAGGCTAGGGACTAAGACACTCTAGTTGGTTGTCTTCTTGTCAATTGCTGAAGGCAAGTGTTGTGTTAGAAATAGGAACTGACAATTAGAATCTTCTCAGTTGTTAATTTTCTAAATGGCAGCTGTCAATCCCTTCCAAAACCTGTGAGTAACACGAAAATATGAGCATGCTTGGAGAACCAAAAGCAGTATCATTTCCCAGTAAAAAGAGTGGACTATTCATTACAACTAAAAAGGGGGTACAGCAAGTCACCCCACTACAGGTAAGTACAGTATGGTTCTGAAGAAAGGGCGATACTAACAAGGATGGGGGAGGGCTCTTAAAATCCCACATCTCTATGAAACCATATTTGCATAAACTCTAAAAGGTCTGCCTTTTCAGAGTAGTGCCTGTGTACCGAGTGAGATATTAGTTGTCATTTTATGTTGAGGGTTTGTGTCTCCCCTTGGATTTTCCTATTGCAATAACTGAGGGAATAATTCGAAAATGAAAACACACTGAAGATAGTTGCAGGCTGCATACCCACCTGTGTCCATCTCATCCATGTTGCTGAGGAAGTCTTCTGGAGTCGTGGGGACACTGTAGCATCCTAACCCCAGGCCACTGTCTGTGCTCTGTTCCCTTGAATGATAGGGGCCTCTGGAGAGAGGGAGGGAGGGAGAGAGAGAGAGAGAGAGAGAGAGGAATGAAAAAGGAGACCTCAATGAGAGACTACTAAATAAAGTTCACAATTAAAATGCAGACACAGAACTCAATCAGTGAAAGGGAGAAAATTCTATATGGCCCTTTTAATTCTGAAACATATAACTTGATCTTATGGAAACTAATCAATGTTATGCAAGAAAACTGGCCACTCACCATACATGGGCACTGATTTCCTTTGTTGTCTCAAAATAACCATTTGGACCCTATTTTTCATATAGATATTATTTACGTAAAAATTTAAAAACCAGGGCTGGAGAGATGGCTCATCAGTTAAGAGCACTGTCTGCTTTTCCAAAGGTCATGAGTTCAATTCCCGGCGACCACATGGTGGCTCGCAACCATCTATAATGTGAACTGATTCCTTCTTCTGGCAGATGTAAATGCAGATAGAACACTCATATACATAAACTAAATAAATCTTTAAAAAAAAATTAAAAACCAGAGAACAGTGCTGAATTGCGCTCAGGGATACTTTATACGCACATTAATGCTAAAAGAAGCATGTATAAAGCCAGTCATGGTGGTCCATGCCTACAATCTCAACACTTCAGAGGCTGGGGGAAAAGGGGCCATCACAAAGCAAAGTCACCATGATGGACACACGCTGCTTTCTGAAGTGTGGCTGCTCCTGGGGAGAAGGAAGGGAAGGTGCTTGGTGGTTGAGGTGGGCTCCAACAGGAAGCCTGGATGGTGCGTGCCTCAGTTTTCTTTTCTTTTCTTCTATTTTTAACAATAAACATCTTTTAAAAATCTATTTGTTCATTATTGTAGCTCTTCTGTTTTTTCACCTGTATCTTTTTATTTGTATTTGTTTGCCAAGGGCTTTGTAAGAGCAGAAAGGGGCAGAAACACTACGGCTATAGCTACCCTCTCCTCCCCCCTCCAAGAGGCCTACAGTTAAAGTCAACTGATTCTGTCAATGAGAAACTTCCCGCTATTTCAACTTTTCCTTCGGCTACTACTTTTCTTTCTCTCCCCCTTTTAAAACCAATGTCTTTTTGTTTTAATTAATTTTAAATTATGGAATGACTTAAAACTCACGCCAAAGTCGCCAACAGAACATTGTTTCTATGTACCTTCCATCTGGCTCCCTTAATTAAAACAGTTTTCATAACCATAGCATAATTACCCAAAGCAGAAAATTAACATTATTAACTAAACTATACACCTTATTTACCTTTCCCCATAAATACTTCTGGATTCCCTTGTTCTATCTGCTATGACATGCTTTAACCCTGCCCTTACTCCCAATAGCTTCAAGATTCTGGCAAGTGATTATCAAATTAGCGCTGTCCTCTTTAAATTTGAAATTCATTGCCATGCGCAGAGCACTAAAGGATATACTCTGTGCCATGCAACTAGGTGTTGAAATACAGATGCTTTTTTAAAAGCTTTCTTTTCCTTCATTCTGTCAGCTTTCCTACCCTCCTCCCATCCCCCAAGATCCCCACCTTTTTTCTATGTAACCAAAACAAAACAAAAAACACCCCACTACAGTCTAAACCACAGGTAAGAAAGCAAAAGTCAATGGCCCCCAGTGTGAGCTTACCCATTGAGGAAAGGATCTGAGCTATTGTTGGTGATAGATCTCATATCTGTGCTCATGGCAGGCGTGTTGACAGAGGCCATGGTCTCAGTTTCCATGGGGAGCTGTCTGCAGAGGGCAGCTTCCTACACAAGAGTCAGAGGGAAGAAGAGTTACTCAGTTGCCACAAAGGGTTGCCTCATAATAAGTTTCATCTGAAAATTGCTCAACAAACACAGGACACTTTGTATCCGTTTCAGTAGGTCAAGGCCATCAAGAGACTAGAGCTCCTTTTTTTTTTTTTTTTGCCCCCACAATCTTCCAGACATGCCACTCTCTTCCACTCCCAGCTAGAAGAACCAAGGGAACTCTGGGCTCTGAGCACTTACTTTAAAAACACACATCTGCCACAGAATTGTTAAGACACACAAGGTCGTATCATGGCCTCTCAAGACACTTTCTCACTGACAAGTTAGGTCTAGGGTCTCAGACTAAATCTAAATCAATCAAAGCAACTGGATACCCCTGGACTAGCAAGTACATGCTGGTCTCTGCCATTAAATGCTAGTGTAAATGGGAGGCTCAGTATTCAGACCCTACATGAAATTTCACTTAGCAGTTGGTGTTAATCACCAGATGAACAAAAACAACCAGTTAAAAAGTCAGCTTTAAAAGGAAAAGATCAGGATCACGAAGCGGTGCGGTTGGGATGGGTATGTGCTGCTACCAAACCTGACATCCCAACTTCCATTTCCAGGGCCCACATAACGGAAGAACTAACTTCGACGAGTTGTTCTTGACCTCCATAAGCATGTCACATCATGGCTGCACACATAATACATTTATATGTACCCATAATAAATAAATATCCTATCAGAGTTGGTAAGATGGCTACATGGGTAAAGGTGCTTCCTGTATAAACTTAGCCACTTGAATTAAATCTCCAGGCCCATGTAAGGGTGGAAGGGGAGAACCGACCCCAAAAAATTGTCCACTAGCCTCCTACATACCAGCCTTGGCACAAGTATGCCTGCACTTAAATACACGCATCATACATGCTCACAAATACACAGTAATAATAATAATAATAATAATAATAATAATAATAATAATGTTGAGTTGATTAAAATGGCTGAAAGTTGGAGAAAACTGGAGTTCCAAATAAAATCCTACAGACAATTAGGTGTTTGATGGGTTATGAAATTTTTTTTTAAGCTAGCATTAATACCAAGAAGAATCAGTCCAAAATGCTATGAACTGGACTGCAGTGACACACTCCAGACAGATATGACCAGACATCAGATCCCTTTCAGGCTGATGGCTCTCTCCAGAGAAGAATGTTCTCATATGCTTATGCTTACATCCAAAACCAAGGCTGGGTCCTGGCCACATTCATATCTATCAGTTTTTCAATTTCCAAGCTGAAGTCATTGATCTCGTGTCCCTAAAACCCCCAAAGAAAACAGAACATTCCCGCTATCAGAGTTTCTGGATGTTGGTTAGATCTCTTCCTGCTATGGTTAAAGGTATTGCAGCAAAGCCATCAGCTAGAAAACTTTCAGTTACCATGTACATTGTAACATTACTAGTACTTATTATGGTGGTAAAACTCTTACAAGCCATCATGGCTTGTTAGTTTGGAAGAAAAGGGCCCCTGGCTCGCTTCTGTTTATCTTCATGCAAATAATTAGAATCCTTAACTAATACATTTCATTCAATAATATACAAAAAGCAAGTTAAAATACAAAGTTTTGAAAGTAATCTTCTAAACTTATCTAGAAAAATAAAATTATTATCTTATAGTTGTGCTTGCTTGCCCTAGAGAAACTTTCCTATCCAACAAAGCTTTCCTCAAAGTCTCATGTAGAAAACAAAGCTTGAACTGGGATAAGGAACCGTACAACTGCCAAACTTTTATGAGCACTTACATACTCTGACCCTCGACATGAGAACAACTGGTCAGTGATTTATGTTCTAGTAAATTCAAGAATCCTTTGGCTAGTATCTTCACTATCTAAAAATACTGATTTAATTGGCATGCCACTCTTCAACTATTCAGAATAAGTATAAAACAAATGTCTAATGTCTTTTTTTGCTTTTTGTTCATCTAAACTCCTTCTCCTTTCCTTTTTTTTTTTTTTTTTTTTTTTTTGAGATAGAGTCTCGCTATGTAGCTTGGGTTGGCCCTGAACTTGCAATTCTTCTGCATCAGCCTCTTGAGAGCTGGGGGCACAGTTGCCCCAGTATGTCCAGCAATTTATTACACTTTGATAGGCACAAAGGTCATGGCAGAGGCTGAGGACATGACTTGAAAACGCTTGTTGCATGAGCATGGAGGTGTGAGTTCGGGTTCCTAGTGCCTATAGAAAGAGCTGATTACAGCAGTGCTCACCTCTAACAGCAGAGCTGAGGGAAGACGGACACAGCTCCTGGCTGCTCCGGCAGAACCAGTAAGCTCCAGGTTCTGTGAGAGACCTGTCTCCAAAGCTGAGGCAGGAAGCAACCGAGGAAGACACTCAGCATCAACCTCTACCCTCCACGTACATGTGTGTGTGTGTGTGTGTGTGTGTGTGTGTGTGTACGCACACACGTGTGTAGCTGAACACACGCACAAGTTTACAAGCTAGCTGCATTTCCTCATGTTTCATGCATTTTTCTTCCACGTACATGTGTGTGTGTGTGTGTGTGTGTGTGTGTGTACGCACACACGTGTGTAGCTGAACACACGCACAAGTTTACAAGCTAGCTGCATTTCCTCATGTTTCATGCGTTTTTCTTCCTTATTTAACTTACCCATAGCATGTTTCAAATACATATAAAACAATGCTCACTTGGGGCAAAATATACAAACATAATTTAAAAAGACCTCATAGCTTGTCACAAAAGCGGGGGGGAAGGGGGGCGCAAGACAGCTCAGCGGGTTCAAGCACTAGCCATAAAACCCTGATGACCTGAGTGATGTTTCTGGAATCCATTAAAAAAAAAAAAATCCAGATGAAGTAGTGTATGTGAGGGGCAGAGACAGGAGAATTTCCTGGAATACATAGCTCTGTGAACACGCTGAGACTCTGCCTCAATGAGGCAGAGAGAATCGAGCCCTGAAAGCTGCCTTCTGACCTCCACATGGGCCCCACGGCACGAGTGTGCTCACAGGTGCACAAAGTGAAAAACAGAGTAAAAGCTTTCTTAACAACAGGGAAGGGAGCTACTTGGAGGGACGGAGGGACCTCCGGCGGGTAAGAGGAAGTGAAGTCGGGGAAGTGAAGACGTCACAGTGAAATCCATTTCTTTCTATGGTAAGCAAGAAAAAAATTTAAAGACCATATACAGGTAAAGTGCCTGTAGCATGCTGAGGGAGGGGAGGGAATGCTCGCTGTGACATTTCTCATCTATTCCCTGTGTTTTAAATCCAAGAGAAGTACCAGGGCGTTCTTCAGCATGAGGTCCTAACTACTTGACACTGATCTCCAAGTCACCAAAAGAGGAAATGCGATATTCTGTCTGTAGGGGGCGCACAAGATCACGTTTCTACCGTCTCCAAATAACAAAAAACGCAAGAACTACAGGAGGGTGTTTTAACCCTAAGGACGTTAAAAGAAACAAACAAAAAAATCAGACCATTTGTTATCAAACAATACAACGACCTGTTTTCGATTGCTGCAAGATCATTCCTGGGCCACAGATCATCCCAAGAGCGGCTAAATAGAAGGTAGACTTCTACTTCCTACCCTAGCAGGATGGATAGAGGGGGCACACCTTCTCAGTAGCCCAGTGGCCTCACTACCACGCCACCAGGGCTCTGACACACGGTCTCCCAATCTTAGCATCTGTCTTTGCTGTTGCATTCACATCCTGAATCTGTCCCTCTGTCTGGAACACGCTTCCCCACAAGGCCCATTCCCCTCACTTACTAACCCACAAATGCCACTTACCAGAGGCATCCCTCCCCGCCACCATCTAAAAGAGCACCCCCGCCCCGTCACTGGTCACTGTCCGTCCTTCAACCTGCAGCCGTCCATTTGCTTCACAGCAAGCACCTTGTGTTTTACCCTCCCCAACAGAATGTGAGTTCCATGAGGGAAGGAAACTTATTCACTATGCTCATGCCTACATTCCCACTACCTGTGACCGTGCTAATTCTGTAGTAGATACTCAGAAATTACATTCTGAGTAAGTAAATGAAAAAACCATATCTATTCAAATAGAAATACTTCAAATTATGCTAGTAATAAGCAAATAAGAACTTAAAAGAAAATTCACATGTTCAACCACAAATGAGTACACACCCTGTTTAGCTAATGACTCAGCTGACTCCTTCCCTGTCCCTAACACAAGATGGACAGTCGGGGTGGCCAGTAGCAGAAACAGTCACACCAAATACTTGGATTTGAATTTTGACCCCGCTGTCTCCCGGTGAGTTATTTCACAATTTTGTCATTTGCCAATTCACAGTGGAGATAATAAAAATCACGCGTTCGAGGAGCTGCTGTTATGACAAAGGTGCTCAGAGCAGAGCTGCCACCAGAAGTCCTGCACAGATATCTAATTATCACCTCACCTCCTGTTCTGCTAGGATCAGATGGAAGGGGAGGAGGTCCTCCACTATCAGTGGACTGGGGGAAGGGGCATGGGTGGAAATGAGGAAGGGCGGGATTAGGAGGGGACCCTCGTGGGGCTACAGCTGGGATACAAAGTGAATATATAACAAATAAAAATTATATTTAAAAAAAATAAATACATTAGCGGTAGAGTACTTGCCTAGCAAGCACAAGACCCTGAGTTCCATTCCCAGTACTGAAAGAAAATAAATGAATAAACAGGTAACTTTAAAAGTTTCACTGTTGTGTGGAACTGACCTACTTTGACACCTAAGAGTTTCTTCCTAGTCAACATTCACCTTGGAAAGATTTAATCAAAACCTGAAATTCATCACAAATCTAAGAAAACATTTTTTTAAAGGAGGGAAACATTTAGAGACTAATTGCCTAAAATTAGTTTTAACTGTACAGTGGTGAGAATATATTTTATAGTATAATAGTACTACATTCAGAAACTTTACAAATTCTACCTGCCTGGTTTTCTGTTGTGTTTTGTCTTGTCTTGTTTTGTTTTTGTCAAGTTGACTCATGTTAAAGTTATCTGGACA